CCAGCAGCTGGTGTGAGCTGCCAGGAGCCGCCGTGAGTGGCCGTCCAGTGGCCGGCGACGGATCTGCCTCACCCGGGAAGAGCGCAATGACAATACCAACATGGGCCAGTGAAGCGACGTCCTCCACAACAAGACTGAAGAACAAAAGGACAGCAACTTGTCTGTTCCCCTTCCCCGATTCCCCAGCACTATTCCCCTCCAATTCCCCAATAAAATCTTAAAAAAAAAAAAAAAGAAGACGACGACGATGTTATCTATCCTCATCCAGGAACTTCTCTGCCTTCATCCATCCAGGAAATGAAATATACCTGCCACCTTTGACCAAATACAAAATCCACATCTTCTAATACCTGAGTGGACTTGTGAAAGGTGTTACATCAACACTTTCCTATGGCTTGCTGTTCTTCATGGAAATTAATATCTCTCTCTCTCCCTCTCCCTCTCCCTCCCTCTCCCCTCACAGAGGTCCTCAGAGTTGCACTGTCCCAACCAAGGTCCTCTAATCTTGAATTCTGGCTTCTCTCAGTAAAAAGCAGCCTTCATTCATGTTTATGAACGTATAACTTATCACAACCAACCGTGTTCTTGGAGTAAATCAAGGCCACTCCAAAAGAACTTTTTAAACAACTATTTATATGGCTTTCTTCCACTTTTTCCACTTTTTCTCTCCTCTCTCATATATCTTTGGCAACACCTTCAAAACCAATTGGTCAGTTATAAAGTTTCTAAGCTGTTGATGAAATGTGTTTCCTACTAGTGAAAAAGTTTAATTCCCTACCCCTCACTCCCAATCACTCAAAATTCTCTCGTAATTTGGGGTAGGGGGGCCTAAAAATATATATCTGTTGCTCGTAAGGAAGAAGCAGCTGTTTAACTCAACTCAGTCCAAAGACAGCAGACATCTCACAACCACCTCAGGCTGCAATATCCACTCCTCACTGGTGCTCAGAAGTGCTCATTTAGAACAGGGTGGCACAGCTGCTTCTATGAGTTCCCAAATTGCTCTCCAGATGTGCACTAAGTCCCCATAATTAGTATTTCTCATCAGCCTTGATGATTTAAATGCCAAGAAAGACAAAAGAATTTTTTAAAGTATGTTTTTAAATAGTAGGTCTTGTTTGCCATCCCCAGAAAGGAACCCCTTCCATTCCAATCGAATACGGCCAAGGAACCAACTACGTGATGATTTTTTCCCTCATCCACTCAGAGTCCACGCTGTTTCAGGGCGATCTGAAAACCTCTGCATCATCCCTATCCAACTTGTTCTTACTTGAGATGGTACAGGCCTATTCAGTAAAAAAATATTTACTCCTACTAAAAATATCTGCTAGTCTGGAGGGAATTTAAGTAGCGCAGCTGTATTCCATGCCACCACACCTAGTACCCATCCTTCTTTTTGGATTGGGAAGTTCGTTCTG